GGTAAATGGTAAATGGTAAATGGTAAATGGTAAATGGTAAACAGTAAACAGTAAACGGTAAACGGTAAATGGTAAATGGTAAACGGTAAACGGTAAACAGTAGACTACAGACTACAGACTACAGGCTGCAAACCAGGGGCTTGATAAACTGGGATGAAAAGTCTTGGTCTTTTTTGTTTGATAAGAGAGGACACAGGGAAGACAAGGGAAGACAATAGAAGAAGAGGACGTGGAAAGATCATGAAAATGGCAATAAAAATGAAAACAAGGATGACAAAGATAAAAGATAAGATATGGGGAAAAAGAGAAACTCAACACCGAGTATTACATCCAAAATTCATCACGTTACGAGAGAGGGTAGGAGTAAAGGAGATAGTTAACTAAATCAAACATCAAACGTGCTATTGGATATTAAACGTAAAACAGGATAAAATGTGTAAACGATGGAAATGAAGATAAAATGGAAATGAAAATGGGAATGGGAATGGAGATAAAAATGAAAATGAAGATAGAAATGGAAATGAGAATGGGAATGAAGACGGAAACAAAAAAGAAATAGATATGAAATATACGAAAAACAAAACCAAACGAACAAGTTCGACCGCTGCACGCTGCACATTAAACAGGCTCGATATTCTGCAGCGGGACATAACCTTCATCTCTGATACGAGGTGCACGTCTAAACGAACGCAACCTGGCGACCAAATCGCTCAAGAGACCAGTACCAGTACCAGTACCAGTACTAGTGCCTGCACGTCTGACGCGCCGACCGAGGCCGGGATCACTTGCATCGGCCTTGTCCAAGACATCGACAGACATCCAGGCGGGGCGTTTCCAGAACTTGAGCAAAAGACTGCTTCCCACCACACTGACACTGGACGCGGCCATGGCAGCGCCGGCGGCCATGGGATGCAAGTGCCAGCCCAGGGGCAAGAAAAAGCCCATGGCAAAGGGCAGGCCCAGGACATTGTACATGCAAGCCCAGACGAGGTTGAGGCGGATGCGGCGGAAGATGGTCTTGGCGAGGTGCAGACTGGTGGGGACGTCCAAGAGGTCGTCGGACCGCATGAGGACAATATCGGCCGCCTCGACGGCAACGTCGGTCCCGGAAGCCATGGCGATGCCGACGTCGGCGGTGGCGAGCGCGGGCGAGTCGTTGATGCCGTCGCCGACCATGGCGACGACCTGCGGGCCCCGGCGGGAGGGCGAGCCTGTGCTCTGGATTTCGCGGATAATGGCTTGTTTCTGGTCTGGCGAGACGCCGGCGTAGACGTTTTCAGGCGGTATTCCTGCCAGTGCCGCGACTGCTTGGGCGGTGGACAGCTGGTCGCCGGTCACGAGGGAAGTTTCGAGTCCGAGATGGTGCAGGGCACGGATGGCGGCAGTGGCGGTAGATTTGAGAGCATCAGAGAGGAAAACGTTGCCCGCGTAGACGGAGTCAATGGCCACAAAGATGGTGGAGATGCCGGCGGAAGATCTGGATGAGGTAAAAGAGGCTTTTGCACCTGCACCAACACCACTACCACGGCCATCACGGTAATCGGGATCGGCGTCTCTTGGCAAGGCGACTCCGAGTGAGCGGAGGTAAGCGGCGTTTCCAATGGAAACGTGATACCGTTTTCGCGCGGCATGATGATGATGGGCGGCGGGGGAAACCATTGCGGATACTCCCTGGCCGACGGAAGCCTCGAAATCGCCTGAACTACCCTCGATAGAGCCGTCTGCTTCGAGACCAAGTTGCTGCTTCGCCTTGGCAAGAATGGATTTGGCAATGGGGTGTTCACTGCCCACTTCGGTCAAACCCACCAGCGTCCACCACAACCACTCTTGATCCTCCCCATCCCAGTCGGTTTCCAGGTTTCTTTGGACTACGTCCATTTTCCCGACAGTCAGTGTGCCGGTCTTATCAAAGACGACATGTTTTACCTTGGTCGCTGTTTCGAGAGCCGCTCCGCCTTTGACGAGAATGCCGTGTTCTGCTCCAACGCCGGTACCGACCATGACTGCCGTAGGCGTACTGAGGCCGAGGGCGCATGGGCAGGCAAATACAATGACAGAGATGCAAAGTTTAAGGCAGACCATGAAACGTCCACCGCTGGCTTCATCCGTGAAGATTTTGGGTGGGTGTGGAAGCAAATGGCTCAGCACGATCCAAACAAGAAACGTTACGAGTCCGAGGGTAATAACTGCAGGGACAAAGTAGCCGGCAACCACATCTGCCAAGCGCTGAATAGGAGCTCTACTCGTTTGCGCGTCTTGAACGAGCCTGACAATCTGGCTGAGCTGTGTGTCTCGGCCTGCCCTTGTGACTCTAAAATCAAGTCTGCCCGCGCCATTGACCGTTCCTGCAATGAGCGAGTTGCCTTTGCGCTTGAGAATCGGTACTGGCTCTCCAGTAACCATGCTTTCGTTGACAAAACTCTCTCCACGTGTAACGGTTCCATCGGCTGGGATCTTATCGCCTGGGCGGAGAATAACAATGTCGCCAATCTGAATCAACTCGGTTGGTATAGACCTCTCTTCAGACGCATTGCCGTTCTCGACGTTATCAGCGGACTGAGAAGTTTTATCGTCGCCTTTTGAATTCTCCCACATTTCTGCGGCTTTTTCGGCCGCGATAGGGTCCGTGTAGATGGTGGCCATGGATGGCGCCAGTGACATTAATCTCGATAAGGCTCTTGATGTTTGGCCCTTGGCTCTATTTTCCAAATAACGTCCAAGACTGATAAAAGTTATCAGCATCGTGCTTGTGTCGAACACTGTACTTGGGCGCGTGTGGGGTTTTGAAAGCACCGAGACAATCATGGCGCCAACGCTGAAGAAGTAGGCGGCCGAGGTACCCAAGATGACAAGAACGTCCATTGTTGGTGAGCCATGGCGGAGCGATTTGAGCGCTGAACCATAGAATCGTTTGCCGATGCCGAACTGAACCGGTGTAGTGAGTGCCAAGCACACGACATCGCCGAGGTAGAGTCCCGGGAGTAGGAAAATTATCGAACCAAAATCTAGCGCTGGAAGAAACATTGGAATAATCATGCTAATAAGAAACACGGGTATCGCAAAACAAAGAGAAACATAAAATGCTCGCTGCCACTCTCGGATTTCCCGAAGCTTTGACAACGATTCTAACTGAGCATTGTTGTCTTCCGAATCTGCCACCAGGGCATTCATCCCGGTAGCTTCTATTGCTTCCACCAACTGGCGAAGACCAGTCATGGTAGGTTTATGTGTGACGGTGGCTCTTGAGGTGATGAAATTGACCGAAGTCGATGTGACTCCTGGTAACGCGGATAGTGTTTCCTCCAACAACGAAGCCGAGGACGGATCTGTCATGCCGTAGATCTTTAATTGAACAGCCGACGTAGCGCCCGCTCTCTGGACACCTTCGTTTTGAGAAGATATGATATGAGCATCGAATCCCCTATCTTCAATGATGGAAACAATTTTTTCCGCGGAAAGCTTTTCGGGATCGTGCACAATAACAGCTCGCTCTGCCAAAAGGCTGATATTGAATTGCGCAACTCCTTCGAGATCCTTGAAACCGCCTTCAACAGCAGACGTGCAAGCACCACAGGTCATGCCTTCTACAGCGACCGTCGTTGTCAAGACTCTTCGCTCTGGTCCGCTGGATTGAGCACCCGTCCGCTTCAGAGACGTCGATGGTTGTGATGGCTTGCTGTCAATTATTGTCGCACCGAATCCGCGTCCTTCAATGATGTCTGCAATCTGCTCCGGACTCAAAATATTCGTGTCATGTTCGATGACAGCTCGTTCAGACAACAGTGAAATGCTGATTGACTTCATGCCAGGAACATCCTTGAAGCCTCCTTCAACCGCAGAGGTACAGGCGCCACAAGTCATGCCTTCAATGGCAACGGTTGTCGTGGATAAACCATTGTTTCCCAGATTGTCGTCCAACTCGACCTCAGCATCATAATCTCCATCGCTCTCTGTGGGTAGATCGGTCGACAATATTTGCGCATCGAAGCCTCGGTTTTCAATAATTTCCTTAATCTCATCGGGCGACACCGTTTGGGGATCATGGACAACGACAGCCCGTTCGAGTACCAAGCTGACCGACACGCTGCCGATTCCATCAACCTTGCTAAATCCGCTTTCAACGGCCGACGTACAGGCACCGCAGGTCATGCCGTCGATCCGCACAGTGGTGGTAGCCATATGCTTCGAAGACACATCTCCCTGTGGTACGGGAATTGTCGACATTTTGCGATCGGAACCAATGTCTTGCTTCGACATTGGCAACAGTGGCGAATTCATGGTGTTGCAACTCCGCTCACACCTTGCTTAGGGTTACACCATTCAAGCATGCAGCTGTGGTTTCTTGGTTCTCCGCAGCGCTTATGGGAATGAGTTTGGCTCAAGGATAGCGATCCGCCAGTCGGTATTCTGCGCGGCGTCTAAAGCGTCATTTCCCCTCACTATATCCTCCGTATTAGCCACAGGGGTCGCAGAGAAGAAATAAAAGACACATGGAAGAAATTCAGGTACATGGTGGCTTTATTACGTACCAGCTGAAGAGGAGGGATTTGGGGCCTTAGGTAGCAGCTTTGTCAGATTAGATTGATAATTTTGCCGCCAAGCCCCCGGATCCCGGCAAAACTATTCGCGATTGCGCCGAAACTTTTCGGGATTTGCGGAGACCGAAATTGCTAGTGTCTCGTGTTTGTCCGAGAAACGGAGTCGGCTGAAGCACAAACTGTTGGATTCAACGTGTTAAAAGCCCGTGTAGTGACTATAAAGATAACTCATTGTCAGTAATGATATATCAGTCCTTTTCAATATGAACATTGATAATGGAAATTGCTCCTCAAGAAGAGGCTGAGGAGTCAAGGTATATATCCTCATCCATAGGGAGCCTGGCGAGGAACGACCAGTAGTGCATTAAAGAATGCGACGAGCGACACTGGCATGAACGGTGTGAAGGGATAACATACACAATAAAAGTTGATGAAAATCGTTTATTGTCTCTGTTGAATTATTAACATTGATTTTCCTCTTGTATCTGAGGACCTGGGCAAGCTTGTGATGGCGGGGATGTGTTCGACCGCATTCGAACAAGGTAAAGGCCACTTGAACGTACCGTGTACACTTATTAGTCGATTACTAGCCGTGCCTGAGCTTGCCCAAACGTCATGACGAATTCAAAAGTTCAACAACAGCCCAGAGCGAGCAACTATTGAATACAATTCGTGAATTTAAAAGCCTATTTCGAATAGTTGAACGAGGAGTGGCGGCCTGCACAATTTAACTGAAATACAATTATTGACCTTCAGACACGCGACTGACCTATCATCTTTCCCTTGCAAGTGCCCTCCTTCGCCCAGGGCAACAATCGCCCGCATTCCTCCACGCGATCAGCAATACCATAGAATCTCCATTCGCCATCATGGAGCAAACCAGGGCGCTCAACGCGCTCGAGCCTTTTGTCTTGCTTTCCAAGACTGCATCCTCTCCGCGCGCAGCTACAGACCTCATCACTCAGGCTACTTCTGCTGCTAATACTTACGTCTTTGCGGAGCTACTGGAGAGCCCAAACATCCAGGCTCTCCGCAATGCCTCGCCGGAATACTCTCGCTACCTGACACTATTGGAGATATTTGCATGGGGTACATGGTCAGATTATAGCTGTAAGCTCCTATACTTATCCATCGCTGTTCCTTGGGTCTAGCTTCCCGCGTGATCTAACAGCAACTGCTTCTTTAGCTACCCCAGGCCTTCCAGAGCTTTCCGAACCTCAAGCACACAAGCTACGGCAACTTTCCCTTCTTCCGCTCTCTGCCTCGCATTCGACTCTTACATATGCTCATCTGCAAGATGCCCTTTCGCTCCCGACCGTCCGAGCGCTAGAAGACCTGATCATCAGTGCTGTTTATGCCGGGCTGCTCCACTGCAAGCTTGACACAATGTCACGGCGTGTTGATGTATCATCCGTGGCTCCTTTGCGGGACTTGCGACCAAAAAATGTGCCTGCAATGATAGACGTCTTGGACGACTGGGACAGTCGATGCGTTAATGTGCTGGCAGACATTGAAAGCCAAATACGGGACGTTCGACAGCGAACTGCTGATCGGAGACGGAGAGAGCAGACCATCGAGAATATGCTTGACAGAACTGCCATGCAAGACAAAGGTGGAAAGCGGGCCGCTGTGGAAGATGGGGAAAAGGGGGATGGCCTCAATAATGACCAAATGGATTTGGATGATCAATTCGTCCGCATGCCTAGGAGTGCTAAGAGAGGCGGACATTTTTACGGGCCAGGCCGAAGATTGGGATGAACTTTCGTGGTCCTAGGGAAACGATTTCAGCAAAACATGAATTTCGCTGCATATTCATTGATGGGTTGCTACGGGTGTTTGGGGACAGCAACTTGATGTCGTAAACATCTCACCCGTCATACATAACGTCTTCGCATTCAAAGGAGTTCATGGGTTAAATTCCTCGTATCATATTATCGAAAATCGCTCATCAATGCTATTCAATACCCCAAAACGCTGCAAATATTCAAGAAGATTTGCTAATTTTAGGTGCTCATTGTCCAAGAGCGTGCTCCCAAAAACAAGACCAAACGCCTTTCTCGACCCGTAAAAGTTGAGTGCGATTTGAAATTTCAACAAAACGCCCTCCAATTCATTATTTGATCATTACAGCGTAATACGTTTGAGGCTATTGCTCCGCCAGGTGCTAAGGATTTTATGGTCAGCGCTTCTTCACCTTAGATCAAAAGCCGCGGGAAAAACTCACAGCCCATTCAGGAATGCCTCTGATCTGTTGATACATGTACTTCTCGAGCTTGTTTGCGCTCTTTGCATACGGAGTATGCTCATTGTTATACCGTCGACAGTTATCAAAGATGAGCTTCGCATCCCGTATGAAGTCTTCAGGAGTTGGGTACATGTCCTTCTCATGCTTTTCCTCCATCGTAGATAAGTCCATGGGTTCCTTAATGACATCGTAGTAGTCGACGACTTCATCCTTATTAACCGGCTGTGTGAACGGCCAAGCAAATCCTTGGTTTTGCATATTATTGAGTAGATGAAGGAGCTGGTTGTAATTGGGGCCATGGCGCGGCTGACGGGCTAGCTCGTCCATGTCTGGAGACCATCCGGACTCTCTAATGGCATCAATACTCATCGGTTCAATCTTGCAGACGCCATTTTTCCATTCCTTTGGTGGTTGGTGCACGATATGGCTCTTGCTGAATGCCCGAATCTTTGCGTGAACGGCCTCCTTTTGCTTCAAAAGCATCCGTCCGACTTCAAGGTACCGAATCTTCGGCACCATTGTGCATTGCATAATCGTTCCACCTTCATAATCTTTGATATAGCCCATCCAGCGCTGCCTTTCCAGAGTTATTTCTTTCGTGAAACCCTGCTTTTTGAAGTATCCAATAGCATAATTGTCCGCATAAGTCAAGAAGTGCATGACGTCAGATGTTGCTTTTACGTAGTCCTTTAATCGAGTTAGTGAAGCGACTTTGCCGCAGGATCGTATACGTTGCTTCTCGCACCTTTAAATGTGACATCAAATGGGCACCGTACCCTTTGACTTGCTGGTCCGACGAGATGGCGCAGAAGACTATTTCGGCAAATTGCCGGCCTTTGAATGGTCGATACGTGATACCCCTAAATAGCGCGTCAGAATTTATAGATCCCGGAACGAATCTGCAGTGGAAAACTGGGAACGCACCCCACTACTTCTAGTGGCTTCTTGACGATAGCAATGGACAAATGGGTACGATCATAAACCAGTCGCGCGATATAGTCCTTCGGCATTTTTGGGAGTTGTTTCTGGAAGATACATTTAAGACCAGTCAAGATGATCAAACTCTCGCGCTCATTATCATTGTTGACAACTCTGAACTCGATTTCGCCATTGCGTTCTTCGATGACAGCGGGCTTTTTGGAAATGGCGTGAGCGTTGGAAATAGCAACAACGTGCAGCTTCATTTCAACGGACCTTTTCTGGAAATGGCACCACTTTGAGTGGCTTCTTTTCACCCTCTTCTGAATCTTCATGAGAGTCTTTGACACGTTTATTGGCGACGGTGGATTCAAGGTCCTCTGAGGCCTTGCGTTTGTTATCTGATCATTGGATTAGCGAATATTATGGACGATAAATCTCATGAATGTACTGACTCTCGTCTTTGAGATTGGTCATGATATTCGATCTGTAAAATGATTAAAAATGCCAGGTCCTGGGTTTCAAAGCTGGACTGTACGGGGTAAATGCGGAGGGAGATGCAGTATGATGAACGTTGCACGGAGGCGTAGATCCCGAGCCTCGGAGTTAACTAGAGCGTTCTTGTTTGTCGCTTAGACTTCCATTTTCGGGATGTTCCTTTGCCTAGCGCGCTGTACCTACGGCACGCGGGGAAGGCCACATACACCTCATAACACGCTCTCGTAATTGGACAAGTAGACGTAAACCGACCTCCGCGTGTCCTTGAGTCCTGGAGTCAGAAGGCTCTCCTAATCACGACAATTGCTTCAATCACATTCATTTGAGCATATCCTCACTTCAACACGATCATAATTTACTCTTCGGGCGGCCTTTTTTGCTCGTGACGTCCATGTCTTCATCTCTGCGGGAAGTCTGGGAGGGAGCTTCAAGCAACCCATTTCAACCAACTGTGGGCAAAAACAGTCAATTCGTGGTTGGTTTCAGCTTGCTCTTGACAGGCACGACTTTTCTCAATGGGACTTTACTAAGAGTTCCGAGCTAACTCAAACACAGGTCTGATACTGGCTGGTTTGTTCGGCCTAAGTTGGTCTCCCTATATCGCAATTCCTTTCATCTCACTGACGTTGCTTAGACCGTTCCCTCACATCTCTGCCTCTCCTTGGAATACCTGCATCGCTCGCATTCGGGTATGTCTCTTAACTCTCATGTGGTCTAAATTCTCTCGTTGACTGTGGTTTTAATAGCTTCGGCGCCGTGTACATGATTTGCGCGGTGGGGGTTTATGTTTGAAAGCGTCCATTCACCAACTCGGCCAGATACCTCATCTACTTGTCATACATCTTAGAGACTTGTATTTGTATCAAGTGTATTATTCTCATCGTCATAATTTCAAATATTGAGAACGGGGCTCTTTGTTTTTAAGGAGGGGTTTGAGTTCAGAGATCTTACGTTTACATATTACGCAAACCAAGATCGAGATAAACCCCTGAAATCGACCAGTCTGAAGGCACCTGCTCTATTTGAACAAGGGTCTTTTTCGTGGGCAGCTATGATGACCTCGTCCGACAATTCATCAGCTCCAAGCTTCTATGCCATCTCGAGTTCTGCTCGCCAGCTCTTCCTCCTTCTCAGATGTATAAGTTTTGCTCCCAAGGCGCAAGTCCAAATCACAAAGGAGGGAATTCGGCTCTCTGCTGAAGACTCACGTGTAATGCAAGGTAAGTGTAAAAATCGCCAGGGTAGTTATGATGCAAAATGTCTGATGAAACCAGGGCTTGCTTTCCTCGATAAGAGCCTTTTCTCAACGTATAATTATATTCCCCCTCGAAAATCTTCGCATCAAGCAACGAATGATGCTGGTGATGATTTAGAAAGCGATGACGACGAACTTGACCTTCCGCCATTCCAAATTTCTCTCCCGGCTCTCCTTGAGACTCTACAGATTTTCGGTTTCTCGGAGACCAAGGATCGATGGTCGTCAAGAGACTCGCCTTATGCAGGTGGCATGAATGGCGCATTTCCCCGCGCTGGCTCTGCCGCGGCTTTTGACACGCGCGTCCTTGGGATGACAGGCGTTTGCCGTCTCAGCTACAGTGGCATTGGGGAGCCATTATGCATCATTTTAGAGGAGTCGGGGGTTACCACAACATGCAAACTCGTAACCTATTCGCCAGAAGCTCCTGAAGAAATACCATTGCGGAGAGACAGACTTGCCCAGAAAATAATCATGAGATCCTCATGGCTCCATGATGCGATTAATGAATTGTCATCGACTTCTCCAACTCGTCTGACAATAACAGCATCGCCAACTGCCCCATATTTCATGCTTTCTTCAAGTGGACCTCTGGGTTCTGCCACTGTGGAATTCTCAAAAGATCCCAAATTATTGGAGACTTTCCAAGTCAACCGCCGCTCAGTCAATACGTATAAGTATTCGTTGATTAGAGCTACTACTAAAGCCATGGCAATCGCGAGCAAAGTGAGCATCCGATGCGACGAGCAAGGTGTGCTCAGTCTTCAATTTATGATTGAAGTAGAAGGGGGTGGTGTGAGCTTCGTTGATTTCAGGTTTGTTCCTTTTCTCCCGGAAGAAGCTGATGAGGAGGCTCCGGATGACGAGGGCGGAGAGGAATCTGAAGAGTATGACGAAGACGAATGAGACCGTTTCCTTTCTGATTAATTCCTTTTAGTAGTTGGAACCAGAAATTGTACTATTTCAGACACCATAGCTCTGTTACTTGTATTGGTAGATTCGCGAGCCTCTTATCGAGCTTGAGCCGAATATTCCTCCGGACAGGATCAGACTTGAATATAATGTTTGACGAATTGAATATATCTGATTTTACTTTATATCGGTGAAAGATGGTGGAAGAATTGCGGCTCTTTAAGCATCGTTGCAAAATACTGTATAGAAGGCAATATTTATGAAGTTTAATAAATTACGTATCAATGGCAAGTGGAGAGAGCTCAGCGATGTAATTTGCCGCGGTCGGAAGTGATCGTGCGAGTGGAAGATGAGGCATTCTGCCAAGATTCCGTGGAATATAGACACGATACCACAACACTGTGCACCGATCTCCCAGAGGGGGGAAAAAACCGACAAGCTTGCAGCAATTGCCTTCATTCTCATCCAACTATTGTGAGCGCTCAATTTCAATAAAGATTACATCCTTAACAAGAATCAGACTTGGAAATGATAGGGTTTGCTGCTAATTTTCCGTATCCGGCGACGAGCTCGGATGAGCCACTGCCAAGTATATATCCGAACGCATGTACTGTTGGTACTCATTCAGGTTTTGGATCACCACGTGCTTAATTCCAAGGTCATTTCCACCTTCCATTTTACATTTTCACTGGCAATAAATCGGCTTCGGGCTATTCATTATCAATATGTTTTTCTGCATCACATTTGGAACACAGGGTGAGGTCTTATTAATGCATAAGATGGCGAGATAGTCTGGGCTAACAAGCTCGGCAGAGTTCAAATCTCCTTTAAAGGGCTATGAACACATAACAGTGAGCAATGCAAAACATTCACTCTACAAATACGGCGCGTGGCTAATATGATATTGTTCTTAGACCAGATGTCTAAATTGTATGTTCTTCTCAATTTTACGCGCTCAAAATTCGACTTTGATGTGGCGTTACTGACCGATGACCAGGTAACAACTGGCGTGGTAAGCTCTTTATATTCAACCCTTCAAGTTTCAGGCCCGTTTTTCTGACAACATATAGCTTATTGTATCAAGGATTGGTGGGTATCAAGTTCCGTCTGTTGATGCAGACCTTTTCATCTGACCGAGAAAATAACCCTTCTACAGGGAATGGATTACAATTTGCTTCATTGTAAGTGCGGCAACGTCGCCTTTCTCATATGTGATATTGGACAAAAGGTTAACAATGAGTTAAGCCGATTCTGCCGCTATCTTTCCACCCATATAAGGTAGAATCTATGTAATTTTTCTTGCCGTTCAAAATGTGCAGGCGCTTATTGTTTTGCAGGAAGTCGAATGTCAAATCTGCCACTTCAGGCAAGATCTTCGGTACGAGACATATTGAGTAGGTCTTATTTTCAGGCCCTTGTTAACTTCAAAATGCAGAGATCGGCCTGATATAGAAGCTCAGCGACAGCAGGGCCCCGGTCAAATACAGATGACTCCTCAGGCTCCGCCAGCTCCGAATATGCCTCAGTATAAATGATTGATATCCAACAATTTTGAACAACTACATTATTTAATTTCAGGGATTTTGGTTCTTCATGCCTTCCTCGTGTAATATAGAATTTGTTTGAGCATGTGCGAGCGTGTGGCACAATTTGTTTTGTGGGTATTACTCGTTCAGCTATTTAATTATTTTCTTTTATTTCACAACGTATTTAAAATATATGAGCAAATTTGCGTATCGAAAGGCCGATTCACATTGAATCTCATACTTTTTTACTGTCTGTGTTATAGAGTTAGTTGTTAATGATGATCGCTGATAGACAGGGCTGCAGCGTTGGCGCTGTTGAATTTACTCTGGAACTGTATCGATTCACTGTCGTCAGGGTGCACCTTGTCAATGAGGTTTCTCAAACGTCTCCATACCCGAGACCAGTCAAACTTCGTGCGGCTTGGCAGCAAACTGCTTGCGGGAAGAATCGGTAAGCTAGGGCGCCAAAGCCACCATATTTTAGCCGCGGAATATTTCTCCGGATAAACAACACAACTTCAATTTGCAGGGACTGAAAACCTGTCTACTTCTAAGTAGGCACAAATGGCCGCGCTTTCTCACATGCTGGCGCGAGGTATGGAGCGGTTTCGCGCTGGCTGTAGATAGGTTCTGGAACCGTGGGCGAAATAGTCCGACACTTGGCATTGATGAACATAGGCATCAGGATGCATCCTTACAGATTTCCACGCGAATATCAACCAAACGTAACCCCATAGCGTCTCTTGCCATCACTGTATTGTTATTGACTCTCTGTTGGTAAGATACGATCTCGAACTGGCAAACCCATCGATCCACCAACGAATTCAGATGTGACGAACTGACTTAGCAGAGGAGATGGCGTTACCAGAAAAATCATATCTCCGAAGTCTAACTTGTTTCGCTTCCTGATTTGCGAGGTGGGCGCTATGATGAAATTATTCGATGGAATCTGCTAAATCGGCCGTCAGATAAACTTTCTCGTGCCGATTGCTCACTATGGAGTAACTTAAGGCCAACCTAGCTAAGTTAACGTGTGGGGCTCAATTGGACATGTGCGTCAACACGTCCGACCCACGAATTTCAATACCAAAGCAGCATGAGCAATCCAACATCCACTTTTTTTTTTCCGCAGCACACTATGCCAATCAATGCTGTGGTATTGCTGAACCTAACACATGGCTGTAAAATGATACCGTACCGTTACACTTGTGCACATACCGTATGTCGGGGTTTATCAAACATTCGGCTGCATGCACTAGGGTTCCTTTCATTTAGCAAACCCTGGATAGGTGAAGGACTGGGGTCAGAGATAAGCAAAATGTCAACTCTGAAGGTCACCGATTGCGGATCATTGCCAATCGTCCAATCCTAACCACCGGTGTTTATCAATTGCAAATTTTCGACTTGCTCCTCGCTGCCCTCCACACTCTGCGTAACTGCTGAACTCGGCCAGTTACGTGCCCCAGGCTCCACTCCGATAGCTCCATGTCATGCATTGACTCTAGGATGCTCCGATATCAGCAGCAAGGTGATTCGTACCCCACATTCAGGATGTTCGCTCCGTTGGTGCATTTGAATGTCCGGGTCTCCTGCATCTATTGCTACCCAGAATTTTCAAACCCGCCTTTGAAATTTCTCGTTGAAAACAGCCCCCTGCCTTGCACTTCAGTGATCCACGAGAGATTGTTCTGTTGACATCTTGCGCTCTGTGGACTGTCATTTACAAGCATGTTCTCAAGGAGTCCACCGCTTAGCCAGGGGACTGGATATGGTGTGGTCATTGGTCTGGGCATTTTGTTTGCCTTTGGTATGGTCTTGACCACATGGGTACTCCGCAGGTAATCAAGATGGCGTTTCTCTGCAAAATCTCAGTTGCTTACTGACGACACAGGTACCAGAATGAGGTGCAGACCAGTGAAATGTTCAGCACAGCGGGGCGCACAGTCAAATCGGGTCTTGTTGCTTCTGCCGTAGTTTCTTCATGGACCTGGGCAGCGACGCTGCTACAATCGTCAGCTGTGGCTTACGAATATGGCGTTTCAGGTCCTTTCTGGGTTGGTATTATTTTCGTACAACACCATATTTGCTATCTAACTTGACGTAGTATGCTTCTGGAGCGACGGTCCAAGTTATTCTATTCGCTACACTCGCCATTGAGCTCAAAAGAAAAGCACCAAACGCGCACACGTTCTTGGAGGTTATTCGGGCGCGATATGGTGCTATCACCCATGGAGTTTTCATTGTTTTTGGTCTCATGACCAATATTTTGGTGACTGCCATGCTCCTCACCGGTGGCTCTGCCGTTGTCACGTCATTGACGGGCATGCATACTGTTGCAGCATGCTTTTTGCTTCCGTAAGTGTCCTGGACACTGTCTCGCGTACAAAAGAATATTCTGACCCTCGATCAAATAGTGTTGGTGTGGTAGCCTATACACTTTTTGGTGGAATCAAGGCAACTTTTTTGACAGACTACGTGCATACCGTCGTCATTTTGATCATCATTTTCATCTTTGCATTTACCGCTTATTCAAGCAACGAGGTCCTAGGCAGCCCTGGTAGAGTATACGATCTGCTTGTGCAGGCAGCAAAGGCCCACCCCGTTGCCGGAAATGCCGGTGGAAGCTATCTCACAATGCGGTCCAAAGAGGGAGGTATATTCTTCGTCATCAATATCGTTGGCAATTTCGGAACTGTCTTCTTAGATAACGGGTAAGTATATCTAATTGTTATTCTGTTGATTTGGTATTCTGCCCTGAGACTAACAATAGAACAGATACTACAACAAAGCTATCGCGGCCTCACCGATCCATGCGCTTCCCGGATATATTATGGGCGGCCTGAGCTGGTTTGCTATCCCTTGGCTTTGTGCGACCACTATGGGCCTTGCAGCTCTCGCGATGGAGACAAATCCAGCATTCCCTACATATCCCAACAGAATGCCTGCTGCAGACGTGAGTAATCGCATTCATATTTGTACATATTACTGACTTTTAAAGGTTTCGGCTGGCTTGGTACTCCCAGATGCTGCTGTTGCCCTCATGGGCAAAGGCGGCGCTGCTTGCACCCTGTTGCTGATATTCATGGCTGTCACCTCGGCCATGTCCGCTGAATTGATCGCAACATCTTCGATTTTCACTTACGATATTTATCAAACATATATCAACCCTCAAGCAAGTGGACGAAGGCTCATTTATATTTCCCATTGCTGCGTCGTAGGATGGGCGGTCGCAATGGCCGGTTTTGCAACCGGGCTGTACTACGTATGTTGAATTGTTACAAAGCAATCCTCAAATTTTGCTGACCAGTTTTAGGCTGGAATCTCTATGGGGTACCTCTATCTTCTCATGGGTGTTATAATTTCAGCAGCCGTTCTTCCAGCCACGCTTTCTCTCCTTTCCAGAAAGCAAAACAGAGTCGCCGCCACTGCTAGCCCCATCTTGGGACTTGCGAGTGCATTGATTGCATGGCTTGTTACTGCGAAAAAGCAGGGCGGTACTTTGACCGTCGCAACAACTGGGGCAAAGTAAGTATTCTCATAATCTTTACACGACATCCCGATTAAGGTGTATGTTTTCTAATATTGATGTTTCGTCAGTAACCCCATGTTGGCCGGAAACGTCGTGGCACTACTCTCACCGCTGATTTACATCCCGATCTTGACCCTTGCTTTTGGATTCCAAAATTACGACTACGCAAGCATGAAAGCCATCAGACGTGGTGACGACAGCGATCTTGCCGCTGCCAAGCACATGGATCCTGAGCTTATTCCTGGAAATGCGCACACCACAACAGCCCAGGATGAGGAAGAGCAAAAGAAATTATTGAAAGCGTCACGGATTGCTCGCATCTTAACCGTCTTCATGGCCGTGTCTTTCCTTGTCCTCTGGCCCATGCCCATGTATGGTTCAAAATATATTTTCAGCAAGAAGTTCTTCACCGGCTGGATCGTTGTTGGCATCATCTGGCTTTTCTTCTCTTCCTTCTGCGTTGCCTTCTATCCGCTTTGGGAGGGCCGTCACAGCATCAAGCGTACCCTCCGTGGTATTTTGCGGGACATTTCAGGAAAGGGCAGACCGACATTGGATGGACGAACGGAGTCTATTGAAGACTCACCGGCCGACCAAGGAACGGAGACTCCTGAAGAGAAATATGTTTCAAAGAAGTGATATCCGAAGCCGCCAAGCTCTGCTAAAGCGACTCAAAAAAATAGTTTTGGTATTCGTCTTATCAATAATAAATATTTCAATTCCGGCCTTTTCAAAAAGTGATTGATTGCGCTGTCCCGAATACAATTTACGTGCGGAAGTTAAGGCGTCTTCTTATTGAAACCGTTCTTACTATAAAAACAAGGATATATGCTTGAGCAACGGCTCTTATTACTCGAAGCGTGTTGCGGTGGAAAACTAACATTCAAAGCAAAGCACTCGAAGTGTGCTGATTTCATAAGTAATGAGCACCAATGGACAAGCAAAGACTCTTGCGAAAAATGGGAAATTCAAGCTTTTCGCTGTCTTGTTCAATCTGCGACTAGATTTGCAAAGGTATCATACATCGTGGCGGAGGCAGCGGCATGTACGGCGATAGGAAGCCGGGTCTTCTACTGCGTCTTGAAAAGGAGGATCGCTGAGGGGCCAAGGTAGAAGTAAATGAAATGCTTTGTCTCTGCATATGTTGTCAGATGCGTAGGTATTTATACGCTCTTCAGGGTGACGTACCATGAGTAACAAAGCTGCCAAAGTTTCGGCCGACGATACAGTGCCATGTAGGTCCTTTCCGCGCATCAAACTATTTTGTGAAACGTTGTTAGGGTGATCCAGTTTGTTGATCTCTCAGACGTTTCCCATACCTCCTTTTTGATGTACGTTGCAATCTCCTACTTGCCAGCGCGTCTTAGCAATGAAAATCCTAATCCCTGTGCTATGTTTCGTTCGCAACGCACCTTCTCGACAGTGGCTTTCGACATGGCATCAATGGCTACACGTGAAAAGTTAGCCAATAGAGCCCAAACAATGAATTGCCAAGGTAACGAAGCATACCAACTTCTAGGGCCTCTTGTTGCATATCTTCGCTCTGGAAGCAAGTCAGAGAAACTACCCTTCAAGTTAAGAACGAGTAATTCTGGTTGTATTACCATGTCTGCATACTTGATTTGTGCTATTGACAAGCTTGTTAGTCGTGTTGCATGCTCATGCGACGGTTTTGTGACTGACCCTCAAGCTTGTCTCTCGTTTCCGTCGCCATATTTGTGTCTCTTTGTGACTAAATGTAGGAGGTATGATAAATATGTCTGTATCAATGTGAAACGGGGAGGTTGAAGGTTATCAATTCCGACTGCAAGGTTCAGGATGTTCTTCGTAAGGGTCCCCTCGGTCGGCGATGCGAAGCACCGTCAGGGCCGAGGCGAGTAGCCACGCCAGCTGAACCAGTGACAGGACGTGACGCTAAGCTTGCCTAAGTGTCTCAACCGATCACCGTAATATAATCGCGAAAAAATTATTAGACGCGATTCTTCCAAATACTTCTCACTTTTGTTCTTTTTCAACGAAAATATTTTTCTGCAGGTCTGCACTTAGCAACCTTGGTACCCAACGCCTTTCCTACTGACTTGTTCTTGACAAGTCAGAGGCCACTGGAAATGTGATCATATGAAATGGCTTCTTCAAGAATATTTATTCGGGGGTTACCCCCAAAACTTACGGAAAATGACTTTAAGCAGCATTTTTCATCTCAGCAGCAGATCACAGATGCAAAGCTGATCCCTCACCGCCGCATCGGCTACATTGGGTATAAAACCCCAGAAGATGCTCAGAAGGCTGTGAAGTATTTCAATAAATCCTTCATTCGCATGTCCAGGATTGCAGTGGAAATTGCTCGCCCGGTAAGTCGCTGTCCTTCCCGACCTTTTCCCTTGGAAGGCTGCCGCTAATACGACACCCAGTTCAATGACGACAATTTACCCTTATCAAGGCAGCAGCGTAAACAAGACAAGGCTACTGATGGTCGTAACAATGTCACCGCTGAGGCTCCTGGACAAGAATCGTCACAAGACAATCCCCTTAAACGGAAACGTGAGGGACGAGACGATAAGGAGGATCTAGAGAAGGATCCCAAGCTTCAAGAGTTCTTGGAAGTGATGCAGCCGACGTCCAAATCTCACACTTGGGCAAATGAAGGCGCAGTAAACCCCACCGCTGACACACAGACGCCCGGTGATGAAGTTAAACCTCATGTTCCGGAAGCTGAGAGCGATGATGAGTATGAAGTCGTGCCGAAGCGGTCTAAGACTACTTCGGAAACACACATACCATCTACGAACACAACAGTAGCTGGACCTGACCTTCAGTCTAATGGTCCCGATGCTGAACCAAATGGTGAACATGACGGCACTCAACCCACCGTCCCATCAGAAGGGGAGCAGGGGCCCTCTGGACCTGTCTCTGATGCGGATTGGCTTCGTTCACGTACAAGCAGACTGCTTGGTTTAGAAGATGAAGACGACGAAGAATCAAACCTGTTCCAAAGATCACAGGGCGCAGCATCACTTGCTCCTAGTGCACAGCCCGTTGAGGAAACGGAGAAACAGGGGGTTCCAAATGATATTTCAGAAGCACAGGAAGATGTCGAAATGGCAGATCCCCACGAGCAAGATGAGAAGGACTCGAAGGATGCGGATCTCGAGACCATCTCCTCGACCCGCCGACTCTTCCTAAGAAATCTGCCTTTCTCCACTTCTGAAGATGACTTGCGGCAGCTGCTAGGCCAAGTTGGCGCGATTGAAGAGGTAAGAAAGATTTGCATTTCTTTGAACTATTTCCCTACTCGACTTCTATGATGAACCCAGATAGGGACAACTGATGCTCAGCATTTGGTGAGACCTTGGGAGACATTTTAGTAGATGCGTCTCTTATCTGAGAAGTCTTTCGTCAACCTGTTTATAAATCCATTGGCGTTCCAGGTAAACGGTGCTAATACTCTTATCTATCAGGTACACTTACCGCTTAATCCATCCTCAGGTCACAGCAAAGGGTTTGCTTACGCTCTATTTGCCGATGGCTCCGCAGCTCAAGAAGCCTACCAAAAGTTCGATGGTCAAATCTTTCAAGGGCGGCTTCTGCACATTCTACCTGCTGCAGCGAAGAGAAGTAATACGCTTGATGAGTTTGCTATCTCCAAATTGCCTCTCAAGAAACAGCAACAAATCAAAAAGAAGTCGTCTGCAGCGTCTTCCACTTTCAGCTGGAATTCGCTTTACATGAATGTACGTGGAACTCCATTAGAAGGTCCTTTTGACCAACAACTGACGTTGAAATGCAGGCCGATGCTGTCATGTCTTCTGTCTCAGAGCGACTGGGCGTTTCAAAGTCGGATTTACTTGACCCTACGTCTTCAGACGCTGCTGTCAAGCAAGCACATGCCGAAACTCATGTTATACAAGAGACGAAAGCGTACTTCAAAACTCACGGAGTTGACTTGGACGCATTTAAGAAGCGTGAACGTGGCGACACGGCCATTCTCGTCAAGAATTTCTCATACGGCACGACAAGTCAAGAGCTGAAGAAGCTTTTTGAAGAATTCGGTCAAGTTGTACGATTGTTGATGCCACCGACGGGCACCATCGCGATTGTCGAATATGCTCAAGCGCCCCAAGCTCGTGCTGCTTTTAGTAGTCTTGCATATCGGAAGATAAAAGACTCTATCCTCTTTCTAGAGAAAGCCCCCAAGGATTTATTTGTCTCTGGGCCTATCCCTGATCAAGTCCCCGTAGCTGGAGGCACAGTGCAAACGCCACAGGCCACAGAGGCCCCACAGGCACGCAGCGCTGAACTTTTGAAGATGGATAACCCCGACGCAGGTATTAGCACAAACACACTGTTTGTGAGAAATCTCAATTTCGCCACAACAACTGCGAGACTCCAGGAAGTTTTTCAACCTTTGGATGGCTTCCTCTCTGCGAGAGTGAAGACGAAGTCAGACCCGAAGCGTCCCGGTCAAACACTTAGCATGGGCTTTGGGTTCCTCGAGTTTAGAACTAAGGCGCAAGCCGAAGCTGCCCTCGCATCTATGAACGGATATAACCTTGACGGACACCAGCTACTCCTTAGGATGTCGCATAAAGGCATGGATGCGGCAGAAGAACAAAGAAATGAGGCAAATGCAAAGAAGCTGGCAGGGAAGAGGACGAAGATCATCATCAAGAATTTGCCGTTCGAAGCTACAAGGAAAGATATTCGTGCCCTCTTTGGCCCTTACGGCAAACTCCGATCAGTGCGATTGCCGAAGAAGTTCGACAGTTCTACGCGAGGATTTGCATTTGCGGATTTTGTTACGCCGAGGGAAGCCGAGAGTGCCATGGACGCTCTCAAAGATACCCATTTGCTTGGCCGCAGGCTAGTCTTGGACTTTGCCGCTGCAGAAGCCGAGGATGCGGAAGCAGAGATTGAAAAGATGCAGAATAAGGTTGGCCGCCAGGTCAACAAAGTGGCGTTGCAGCGACTTACAGGCGGGGGACGAAAGAAATTCAATGTGCAAAGGGACGAGGACGACGAAAATTAAGCTTGAACAGGACCAATTATTATTTTTTTTTACGAATCCCTCTCATTCCTGCCTTTCGCCTCTGGGGTTAGGCATCTCTTCCTAGGTGGCGCCCTTGCTTTACTATCGCTCCCTTTGAGGGCCGATCACCCCTACTACGCGTTGAAAAAGTCCCTACCATGATTTCCTGTTCTTTGTGATGGGACAACTTTTTGTTCTATTTCTCACTTTTAAGATACCCCGAAATATTTTATCTCATTCTTTAAAATTGGTTGCTTTTTTTCATGATGTTTTGTGTCCTTTATCCTGACCCCTACGAAAGTGAAAAGACTCCTTCCCAACGGCTTCGCTTAAGTTTACAACTGCTTTATCTGAAGCTTTTTTGTTGATTGCAATGATTGTAACATTTGCGGCAAGCCTTGGTTGGGTTTCTGAATGAACCTGCCAAGTGCCCTTGATCTCCGTCCAAAATCTGTTTTGTCTTAATGACTTTTGCTTGTGTCTGTGGCCACCCCTGTCTATGATCCTTTCTCTCCCATCCGTCCCCCCTGGACATTCTCGTGCCTTTGTTCATTCCTGGCACGAGGCTTTTGATTAGACGAACTCACTCTTCTGCCCTAGCGACAGATCAGATCTTCAACGGGAAGGCCCCCAGACTCCCGTTTGCGCTTACGCATCGCATCACCGTTGAGCTCCTTGCTTTGGACACATACTGAGGAAAAGCGCCTGCAGCTCCCTCGAGGTCTTCGCGATCTGGAAATCGGTGCAATGGGCCCCTCGAAAATCAAGCCGGGGTGTCCTTGCCTAGGAAAAAGGTCGACGACGACAGGGCAGACCTATATGCCCTGAGCCCTCGCTCTGTTAGCTCATGAACCCTCCAACGCGGGACTCTCTCGTCGACTCTAATAGGACTTTTGAGGTCGCGCCTTCAACACCCTGCGTTAGAGTGAAAGCAGTGATCCGTATTTCCCGTGATCCGTGGCGGGGTAGGGCAAATTCAGTCTTATAATATCTAGACGATGCTCCTACATTCTCCTCAGTCAACTTTGTTCTACATTCTCTTTCTCTTTTTCTTTAAACTTATTCTTGCCGCTGGCATTGCCATTCCTTTAAAGATACCTCACCACAATCCTTAGAGACAGTTTGAGTGGGAATTCTGGCCCGTGACCTTGCCAAGTCCCTTTTCGATTCTTTCTTCTTTTGCTTTTGCCACCTGTTTAGGCAATATTCAACTCACTCATACATTCATTTGTCCATTCTTTTGTTCACAGCTTGCATGAGTTGCTCTATGCTACGGTATTGTTGAATGCTTATGGAGTCACGCCAGAGCATTTGCATCGTACCATCAAACGCACCCGCACATTCTTCTCACCGTACATCTTCTGTTGGTTCTGGAGTTCCAAAGCGTGTCCTGCAGGACACGTCTGGAAACGGACAAAGCTCCGTCCTGGACAACGTTATTTTGAGCCACCCAAAAGTCTGCTCTCAGCTAGAAAACATCGATACCAAGAATCGACATTCTTCTACAATCAACGCTCAGCAGACAGTTGCAGCCCGGCTTGAGCAGAAACGACGGGAGCGGGCGCGTCTACGTGCCAGCTCCCAATTGCCTATTCTTACGCAGCAACAACTTAATAGTCCAGAGTATCAACAATACCGAGCACGTCAACGGCAGAATACCGGGGAGGATGGTGAGCCTGTATGGCCGGACGAGGTGGAAGAAGCTTTCTTAGAAGGTGCATACAACCAAATTGTTTCCTCTTGACGATATACTGTGGTGCAAAAAGTCGCTGACAGCTCATCTGTTGATCAGCTCTACTCATTCTGATAGCTCCAATCGGGAGGAGAAAAGTATCCCAGCATGGCAAGCCATGTGGAAGGAACGAGCTCATTGCGGATCATATATTCAAGAGGACAGGTGTGCAACGTAGTCGGAAACAAGTTTCAAGTCATATCCAAGTCTTGAAGGGTTTCTTTAAGAAGAACCCGGCCTGTGAGTGGCCCCTTGACTGTTGATCACTTGCCATAATCGAAACTTTTGCTGACATCACTCTACTCTAGTCATGGATAGAGTGACGGCTAAGGACAACACTGGAAATCCCTTTGCGACCCAAGAGGAGCTACGTCGATGTCTTGGAATGAGCCAGAGCAGTGCCTATTCTCATAGAAGCTCCGATAGCAGACAAGGCTCTGGTCATCCTTCACATGTGGGATTGTTGCCGTCATCAACTGGCAGCCTGGGCTCCAATGTACCGACCCCGGACAAGGTCACTGTGCACCCTGTTGACTTCAGCATGTGGGTGCAGCCACGGGAGGAGACCAGTTCGACTGACAATCGAGTCATCCACATATACACGACCTTGCAGGGACAAGAGCCCCTTCCCCGGGTCTCGCTTGACAACATCCGCCAGTGGCAATCTCGTTTTCCCCCATTGGCTTCTCTTTACCGTGGAGGTGGTAGTACTGATTGCGATATTATCCTTATGGAGGCGTCCATCAATTTGACTGTTGAATATCCTCTTTCCGGTCTCGTTTTTGGCAATCATCTCGAGCTGACGACGAGCAACGACGGCTCCGCATACGATAACTGGGAGTGCCTTACAACAATATATACCCGAGACGGCCCAGCAGAGACACGCTTCAAATCCAACTTTCTCCGTCAAGCCGACGGGACCGCCCGAGTCAGTCTGGGCTTCCATAGCAAGTTCTGGGCTGGCCTGTTCTCTAGTATAACCGCCAATTGTCTACTCCACAAAGCCCAAGGGGACATGGACAGCCTTGCCCACGAAGAGGACAAGGCACGCTCATTTGTTCGCGGAATGACGGCTGTGCAGGAGCTCTACGCCACGCCCAAGACGGGCTGGCCAGCACCGCACCGCATTGCCATACTCATCTGGAAATTCCGCCTCACGGGACCCGGCGAAGTTGGCAGTGCTACCTGGCGACGCGTTGTTCCACCGGCATCATCATCTACGCTACCACCATCCTCACTCGCATCCTCACACATGATTCCACGGTCATCGCCACCCATCCCCACCGCTCCGCAAATTGCGTCTATGAATTTCCAGCGCTCTCTCTCCTCTGACGAGAACAACAACAGCACCAACAGCATTAATATCAACAACGATGACAGCCTCAACGACCCCGACGATGGGGTTGTAGACATTAATCTCTCAGATTTCGGCGGACCCGACGACCCTTCGTCTGCAATTTCCTCACACAATACCTCCGGCCATCACCACCAGCCGCAGCACTTATTATCTCCTGCGGACTCGCTCAGCCAACAAGCTCTCGATTCACTCAGTCAACAGACCCACAACGGTCACCACCACCACCACCACCACCTTGGGCTCGGCTTCTCTTCATCCCATCAACCCGTTGTTACTTCATCCCATTTCACGTCCTCTCCGAAATTACCCGACTATCAGCTCGTCACCGGAGTTGGGGTATCTTCTGCCTCATTGGGCTCGGCTCTGGGCCCTACCGGTGCAGGCAATACCGTTGGAATTGGTTCTTGCTCTTTGGACCCCTCAGATACCCCTGGAGTTGGAATCGGAGTTGGAGTCGGAGCTGTCTCCCAGGGCGTTCCTGTTGGACTGCAAGCAGTCTCGCATCACCACCACCACCACCATCATCAGCAGCAGCAGCAACAGCAGCAAGAGCAGCAAGACGTGACTTCGGACTTTGACCCAGCAGCTCACATGAGCTTGTATTATGATGCCGTTGGCTCCGGACTAGACGGATACGATCCCGCCGGGTCATTCGCAGAGCTTTCTCCCGAAGACGTCCAGCATTATAGTGCCGTCCAGTGGGGACCCGCGTTCCCTCAGCTCTTGCTTGATGCGAATGCCCTTGGACCACATCCTGCGTTTGACGATATGCGGTCTGCTCACGGACAGGATGGGCATGATGGAGTGCTGGCGTTTCAATGAGGCTTTTTTTTTTCTTTTCTATTTTTATCTCTATTTTTTTTTTGGCGCATTCATTCCTAGTTTCGTATTCCCCTATTCCCTTATTACGGTATTTGTCTGAGACCATTACATTTCCTCGCTGCATTTTGGCAGTGACGACTTTACTTAAAACTTATTCACTTGAGTCTTGACGAAACCCAATTATCCCTTTCCTCCCATCCTCCTTCTTCCTTATTAATTTTTGTACGTCTCTTACGCGATAACGATATGAACCTACCTATACCTATACCTATACCTATGTTTACGACGAGGTTGCGGACTGATACGGACCCACGAGTATGGTATATTTCATTGTACTATCGGGTCTTTTCGTTTTACTTTTTTCTTTTCCACCACTTTCTTCTTAATGATCTAATTCTTTTTTTCTTTTTTTTTTCTTCTTCTTCTTATATTTTCGGTTCGGTTCAAATTATTTTGAGCGAGTCACGCGGGAATAGTTGTCTGAGGATGGTGATGGGTTGGGTGTCGTGTAATCCGTGCAATCCGTGCAAAGAGAATGAGACAAATTCCATCAAGCGGGGAGCGGGAGCGGGAGACAGGGTTTAAACGCAGATTGTCGTTGTCTAGGACTAGAGCACAAACGATGGGGGAGGGGGGAGAGACTCTTGATACCACAAAACCAGAGAAACCAGAGAAAGAAAAGAAGAGAAGAGAAGAGAAGCAAACATAAATTTGTTGAACTCTACGCCGAATTGTGCTCGAAAATGATAAAACCACTCTTCCGGGCACATAATGCACCAAAGCATGGGACCAAACAAATTGAGATGTACCAATAATAGTCTTCTGAAGAGAAGAAGAAGAAATGTCACGGGTGATACGTCAATGCAGCTAATCAAATTTTGTGGCTACATCTTGAGAGCAGTCTCGGGATCTAAGACGATAACGAAAGAAAAAAAAAAAGAGGAAAAGGAATAGTGATGAGTAATGCAAAGACAATCTTCTGTGCAATTCGAATCTGATGCGTGAATTTCAGTGAGAAGAAAAGCAAAGCAAAGCGAAACCTATCCGCAACAGAAAGCAATCAGTAAAGAAATGAGCCTTCCCACGCCACGTGCCTGAATGCGATTCCATTCGATGCATCTGAAAAAAAGAAAATGGGATTCCGACCCGAAAACTCCAAAAGCCAATGGTCAAAAAGAGTCGTGTGGAGAGAGAAGAGAGAGAGAGAGAAGGTTCTACTCTTCGTCAATGTCCCGATGTCTTGCCAGGACTAAGCGCTTGTACTCTGCTGGGTCCTTGTCCCACAGCTCGGCGGCTTGGCCGTTAAGAGGGCTCGCACTATAGTAAGAATAGTCAGCATACATGTTATCTGGAGAGACATGGAGAATTCAAGAGTGACCAACTTGTTCGGCTCTCCCAGCAAGCTCTGGAGACTCAACAAAACGCTCTGGACATTATACACGGCGCTCCACTTGTCCTTGAGAATGTCAAGGCAGATGCGGCCCGAGAAGTCGACATTGGGGTGGTAGATTGGCGTCTTGAAGATCACAGTTGGGGGGTTGTAGGGATACGTGGCCGGAAAAGCAAACGACAATTTGAAAGTAAGCCCCTCGTAGTATGTATCGGCCGGGCCCGTAATGGTGCCCGTCCAGGCGAGAAGATTGCCATCGGCATCGGGGAAAGCGGAGACACCGGGAGTCGAGGACATCATCAGCTGCATGAGCTCAGTTTGGAGTCTGTTCATAATCAAGGGGAGGTTAGCAGCACTTCCTTGCATTATGGGTATTCAATATGATTCTGCAGGGAGTTGGGCAAAGGGGTTTCAAAAGTGAAGTGGTAAAGATATACTAAAATGTGAAGAGAAGACGGATCTTACCTCTTGGTGACACTCTGGATGTCAGCTTTGCAAGTTGCAGGCGCCGGCTTGCTTTCAGCCATGTTTTGCGGACGAGGAGCGGTGTTCTGAATGTCTTCCATCTTGATGTGGTTTTGTACTTCCAGTGATATATGAATTGAATCTGGTACCCTGGTAAGGTAGTCTTGGAAACGAGACCTCTCCCGACGACGTGGGAAAGGAATGTAGGGTATTTCCTTGTATCCGAAAGGTAGAGACAGTGGGATGACGCCTCTAAAGCGTTTGTTGGATTGAGGATAAGAAAGCGACGCGTGATCTCAAGTGTTACAAGTGAATGAGTGTGAGATGATGCTGGAGGGGAATAGTGAAATAGAAGTTACAGGGAATAGAATTTTTTTCTCTCTCTTTTGGCAGTTTCTTGGTGTTGGTGTTGGTTTTGGTTGGTTTAGGAAAGAAATCCAACTGTGGGTTCGGTTTAGAGCGGGTTGTTTACCTGGAGGGCAGCGAGGATTCACATAGCAACGACTTTGCCCAACAAGGACACTTTATTAGTTGGACAGCGTCTCTAAGTACTGATTGGCTGACGGGGTCCCCTGTTCGTGTTGGTTTTCTCCCCCGGTAAGCGATTCGAGGTAACGCGTCAACTTTCCCACTCAATTTAACTAACAAATGGGTAAACTAATCGCCAAACCCCAATATCACCCACGCGACACGCGCGGAGACAAGCTGGGGGACGAGACAACCCCACGCACAGATCGTCGGCCCTGTTTGCAGTGTTTTAACTTGGGAAGGAGATGATCTGATGAGGGGATGCCAACATGGCACAGTCACAACAACTGTCCTCTTATTCGCAGGGCGTATCGCCTTCCCAGCCTCCCTCCCAATTCCAGACCAAGTCGTTGCAAGCTTCCCAGTCCCAGCTCACGCTACCTGCTGATCTGCCCTTTCGAGTCATTTCCAAAACAATCGGCCAGGGCGCCTATGCTTTGTGAGTAGAATTCCTAATCCCTTCTTGGCTCTTCCCCCCCACTGTTGGATGATATTCGCACTTGCTTTCTTATCCGCCATTTGTTTGGAAACAAACTAACCATCCGAGTTGGAATTGGCAGTATCAGGAAAGCTATTCCCCTCGAGCAATCCGAACCCGTCTTCGCCGTAAAATTTATCCACAAAGCCTCGGCCATCAAACACGGCCGCATCACCGCCAAGCAATTGTTGTTGGAAGTCAGCTTGCATCATCACATTGGGTTCCATCAGAACATTGTGCAGCTCTTCGACTACGGTCAAGATGCAAATTGGCAATGGGTTGCAATGGAGCTCGCCGAAGGCGGCGACCTCTTCGATAAGATTGAAGCCGATGAAGGCGTGGGCGAGGATATTGCCCATTTCTACTTTACTCAGCTGATTGGTGCTGTGAGCTTTATGCATTCCAAGCACGTTGCACATCGAGATATCAAGCCTGAGAATATCTTGTTATCCGCCAGCGGAGACTTGAAGCTTGCCGACTTTGGATTGGCAACCTTGACCCGCCACAAAGGGCATGTGAAGCCTTCTACATTTATATGTGGCAGCCCACCATACATTGCCCCAGAGGTTCTTGCGTGCGGGAGCATGTCTCGCACGACCCATCACTCTGGTGCAGTCGGCTATCTCGGAGATTTGGTAGATATTTGGTCTTCTGGCGTGGTGCTTTTCGTCTTGCTGGTGGGTAACACTCCCTGGGACCAACCCACAGAAGCAAGCCCAGAGTTTCAGGAATACCTGGAAACAAATGGAAGAACGACGGACACGCTGTGGGACAATCTACCGCCTGAAACTCTTTCGCTTCTTCGAGGCATGATGAGAGTAGACCCCGCATCGCGCTTCACCTTGGAGGATATCCGGAGACATCCGTGGTTTACTCGACCGAACCCGTACATGAGTCCTAACGGCCGAGTGAACAATCCAGTGTCCCTGGCGACCAAGATGCTCGAGAGCCTCAAGATTGATTTGAATAAGCCGTTTACCGCCTCGCAGTCTACGCAAGCGTCAGACAATATGGACACGGATGGCTTTGACCTGAGCACCAAGCTCGCATCCACTCAGCCCGAGACGCCTGTCAGCGACATGCTATTTGACTGGGAGCGTCCCGCGCGAATGGAGGCAAATGATGGCTGGAGTGCAAGCCAGCCCGTGGTTGCGGGGCGACAACGACGAAACCTTCAATACGGAGAGAGCTGGGACCGTCTTGTGGAGGATCCTACCTTGTCTCAATTCTCCGCCACGCCGACGGTGCCTTTGTCTCTTACACAACACGCGCAGCGCTTTCGGGATATCGTCCCTTCGCATTCTCTCACGAGATTCCTTTCACATCTTTCCTTCTCGCTGCTGCTTCCGCTGATTAGTGAAGCCTTGGGTCGCCTGGGTGTTCCGGTCTCGAATATTCCACAATCTGCACTAGAAGGAAGAGAAGACATGACCTGGATCAAGATCGTCACCGTGGACGGCCGAGCATGCGGCCTCAGAGGTGATGTTGTTGTCGAAAGAATGTGGGGAGATGCTGAGGGTCTTTTGGAAGTCCGCTTCATCAAGGCCAAAGGCGACCCCCTCGAGTGGCGCCGTTTCTTCAAGAAGGTCGTCGTTCTCTGTAAGGACGGCGTTTATATTCCACAGTGATGATTTACAAGCATTAATGAATGATGGGGAGGGATCGGACGGATTTATGACCAAGGGATGGACGAGCCAGATATCACTTATGAAACGGCGTTTAGGGAAGGAAAGTATGAAGGCTTCTGCATATTCGATCAAGAGCGAAGAATGAGCAGGGGAAAGTTTCAGACCAGAACCATGCATATTCCTGCAATCACATAGATTCAAATCTCGTTGTATGTAGACTAGATCTCTCATCGATAGATCCCGGTATCTGCGCTGGGTGGTGTATTTTCGGGGACAATTTCGGGGTAATAAAAAGAGGTATCTTTTCACGTGTTTCCCACACTTCGTCACTTCCAAGCGGTGTGCGCCTCATCAGAGTTGTTTGTGTCAATGCTTCTTCATTTTTTCGTGAAAGATGACTACAGATGGCCAAAGCCATAGGCGGCTTGAGCAGCAAAGACACAAGCCCAGAGCCGATAGACGAACGAACTCCCCTCCATAGCCAGCCCACTATCTCAAACCGCAAGAAACCAAAGCGTCAGATTTATGCGTCCTCGACGACGGTCGTCTGCAGACCCTTGGGGTTCTTCACGTTGACAGCCTGGACGTAGCTGTAGAGCTTCTCCTTGGCACCCTCCTCGTCGTTACGCTTCCGCGAGATGCGGACCCGGAGGCGGAAAGGAACGCCCTTGACACCAGACTCCCACACCTTCTTGTTCAACTGAGGGTCGAGACGGACATCGGTGGTGCCCTGTTCAAATCACGAAAAAACATCTTCGTTAGCCTCCGAAGTCGTCCTAGCTCAACACGTATGGCCGGTTTCCAATATTGCCTTCAACTTATTGAAGGGGTTCAACGGAAATATTGGGGGGGAATATGGAATATCGTACCATAGCCTTCTCAGCGAAAGACCGGATCTCCTTGATGGCTCTCGGGGCCCGCTTCTTGAAAGAGATACCGTGCACCTGCAAAATTCCAACCAGTCAGTCCTCTGTACTGTGGCAAAGTTGTTCCATTGTCCCCAAATATTTCTAGCCCGGCCGTAGTTCGAAGTATCCCAGCACTCAACGAGCCCCCTTCAATCAACGTCTCTTTTTTCTTCATCTTTCCTCATCCCGTATCCCTCCTCTTTTTTTTTCGAAATTGCTCTCCGACCGGGCTCAAATAGAAACATCGAAACAACCGACTAGATCCAGAGAATTCGACGTACCCTCTTGTGCAGGTGAATGGTGTACTCGCGAGCGACGACGTCCGAGATGGCAGAGCGGCCGCCGGTCTTGCCCGCCGCCCGGCTGGTGTGCTTGGCTTGGTTGGGCATCTTGAATATCCTGTGAACCGGACAGAATTGTAAGAATGATATCTTCTGAAAATCAAAATGTCGATAACCGTCGACAGCGAATTGGACGGGGTCAATACGTACGGCGCTGGTGTCGGCGACGTTACGGCGTTTGTCGAGGTGGTTTGCGCGATTCGGCCTCCTTCAATTTTGTGTGGATCACGGGGTTGCTCGGCATTGCACCGTGGGCGCGCGGTAGGGTAGGGTTTGTGCCCCCGTTTACGCGAACACCTCCGAGGTCCTCTCTCGCTCAAAAGGTACTGCGCCACACATAGTTGCCCGGTGTTCAGCCTAAGCGAGGCATTTCGAGATGCACCGCCACAAACCTTACGGACCCCTCAGACGACCCCTCGAATGTTTGAGATTCACGGGTACGAAGGTACCTTAGGATCTCCTGGGAATAGGTAGACCCGTCTGAGCCGGCCGTGCCGCTACTGGTAACCTTTATCCACCTCGCACCGTTGACTGGTAATAGACGCAATAACTACTCCGCATAGGAACCCCCTGCTTAGACACTCGAAAGTTAAGTCCAATGCCAGTGAACTTGCTCTGGACAACAGCCACTTGTTGGCAATTTAGCTAGAATGGGTCAGGTCTGACTTGCAAGGGACTCATTTTCATTTCCTGTACACATGGTTTCGTGCAATGTAGTAGGTACTTATCAGGGTCGTCGTCAATGTTTACCTGACGTTCCAGTACTCAAGTGTACTCCGGAACGTGTCCCTGCATCTGCTAGATTCACAATCCAATAAAATATGTTTCCGAGGATAGGATCAACTGAGCATAGAGGTAATGCATGGCTAGAGTTCAGTGCTTCTGTTTGGACCGGAACGTCGTTGACAAAAGTCCTGGCCATAAGGACCCAAAGCCATGCTTACGACCAAGTATCGATTACATCAGATTCACGACATACCGTATGGATCGAATGTCCTGCTCCTTAATAATGGCCAGCAAGCATTTGCTGCCAGCGAGCTTCTCCTGATCTTTTACAAAGTAATTAGGTGTGTATTATGAAAAAGAGCACATCTAGAACTCAGACCTGAATAATCCTTAGCTCATGTACTCCCGAGTTAGTGGCGTGCCATTGCAGTCAATTCGTCGATTTGAGCCGTTTGGTTTCCCCCCGCGCCGTTACCGAGGAGAAACCACGACTTCGAGTATATCGGTGGAAATCGATGATTCGATCGACTTTTACCCTGGGTTGTAGCTCTCCCAGGGACCTGTTTACAAGTACATGTATGAATATTAGCTGCACCATTATTGGCTCATACCGCTCCGTTGGAATCCAAATGTTAGCACGTGTCATCGGTTTTACCATGACGGCGCGGGAACACCATCGCAATTGGGATCGCGCAAGAGGACTGCCATCGCCTGTGCGGAAAGGAGGCGTGCCGGACACAAATCCTATTGTAGCATTCGCCCTCAACTACGGAGTTACAGCAGGTGTAGCAACCCCACTTTAACTATCTGGACTTAGTAAGGTCGATTACAGTGAACTGAGCTTTGACTACCGTAACAGTAAGAAAACCTGGAGCTTGAAGTCGGCAGTTGGGACCCCTCATTGTTTGGGTAAGCTTGCGACGAAAGTCATACGTCATGACATCTTCAGACCACAGCTTAAGCTGAGGGGTCATATATAAATACCCAATGCAACCCGCGTTCACGTATCGTGTATTGTGACGAGCAAGTTCGTTGCAGATAATAATCACTTGTCATCTAATTGTTGGATTCGTCATTCGATGACTTCGATTATATCTAGTGGTCTTGAGAAAGTTCAGCACACCATGTCTTCAGCCACTGAAGGGGCGAAGATCGCCGACCTCAAGAAGGACACCATTGATGTCCATGATCCTAATAACAGAATCACCACTGACTTCGGTGTGAAGTCAAGCAATACCGATGATTGGCTCAAGGCTTCGTCCGGCGACAAGACCGGACCTATGCTGCTGGAGGACTTTGTCGGAAGGGAGAAGGTAACTACCCTTTTTCACATAATCCAAAAATATTTTGAGTCAATTACTGATGCTCTAAACTATAGATTCACCGCTTCGATCATGAACGCATCCCGGAGCGTGTAGTCCATGCCCGTGGTGCTGCGGCTTTTGGTACCTTTAAGCTATACGAAAGTGCTGAAGATGTCACTACGGCTGGAGTTTTGACGGACACTTCTCGATCAACTCCTGTCTTCCTTCGATTTTCCACTGTATTGGGAAGCAGAGGAAGTGCTGATACCGTACGCGACGTTCGTGGCTTTGCCGTCAAGTTTTACACGGACGAGGGTAACTGGGACATTGTTGGAAACAACATTCCTGTCTTCTTCATTCAGGATGCGATTAAGTTCCCAGACATCAGTAAGTAATGATTACTATGCCTTTGGCAGATTTTGAGGACTAATGACCATTGCAGTCCATGCTGGCAAACCCGAACCTCACAATGAAGTTCCTCAAGCTCAAACTGCACACAACAACTTCTGGGACTTCCAATTCTTGCACACTGAGACAACCCATATGTTTATGTGGACCCAGAGTGATCGCGCTATTCCTCGATCGTACCGAATGATGCAGGGCTTCGGTGTCAACACTTTCACTCTTACCAATAAGAAGGGAGAGCGTCACTTTGTAAAGTTCCACTTCACACCTACTTTGGGCGTGCACTCCTTGGTTTGGGATGAAGCCCTGAAAATTGCTGGTCAAGACCCCGACTTCCATCGCAAGGATCTCTGGGACGCCATTGAAGCCGGAGCTTACCCGAAATGGAGATTTGGTATCCAGACAATTCCCGAGTCCAAGGAACACGACTTCGATTTCGATATTTTGGACGCCACCAAGGTCTGGCCGGAGGAGCTCGTCCCTATCCGGTACATTGGTGAACTCGAGCTCAACAGAAACCCCGATGAGTACTTTACTCAAACGGAGCAAGTCGCTTTCTGCACGTCGCACGTGGTTCCTGGAATTGGCTTCTCAGATGATCCTTTGTTGCAGGGTCGTAACTTTTCTTACTTTGATACTCAAATCACTCGGCTGGGTGTCAACTGGGAAGAACTTCCGATTAACCGGCCTGTGTGTCCTTATATGAACCACCAACGCGACGGCGCAATGAGGCACCGGATTTCAAAGGGCACTGTCAATTACTGGCCTAATCGATTTGGTGTTGGCCCGCCTGCAACCAAGGAGGAGGGCGGATATCTGGAATATCCGGAAAAGATTGCTGGATTGAAGCAGCGTCTCCGGAGCAAGAAATTCTCCGACCACTATAGCCAGGCACAGCTTTTCTACAACTCTCTGGCTCCTCACGAGAAGGCGCACGTTCTGTCCGCTCTTAGCTTTGAATTGGACCATTGCGATGACCCAGTCGTCTATACCCGCTTGACCGAGCGTCTAGCTGACATTGATCTTGAGTTGGCGCAAGGCGTTGCTGAGGCGGTTGGTGCGCCGGTCCCACAGAAGGCTGGAACGCCAAATCATAACAAGAAGTCTCCGTCGCTGAGTCAGACTTACTACAACCCGAAGGAGCCTACCATTGCCACGCGCAGAGTTGCCATTCTCGTTGCGGACGGCTTCGATCCCGTTGCTTATTATGGTGTCAAGGCTGCCTTGACGGCCGCAGGAGCCCTTCCCTTCACCATTGGACCCAGGCGTCTTCCCGTCCATGCTCAGGGCGAAGATAAGAGTGGCAAAGGCGTTAGCCCCGATCACCACTTTGAAGGAATGCGCTCAACATTGTTCGATTCCATCTTCATCCCCGGTGGTGCCCATGTGGAGAAGCTCCGGAAGAATGGACGTGCTCTGCACTGGGTTCGGGAGGCGTTTGGTCACTTGAAGGCCATTGGTGCAACCGGTGAGGCGGTTGCTCTGGTTCGGGATGCCTGCCAGCTCCCAGGTGTCCAGTTCTCGAGTAGCAATGAGGTTGTTGACTCGTATGGCGTTGTCACTGCGGCCGCTACTCACCCTCAGAGCTTCAAGGAGACCATCAAGATGGTCAAGGGAGCCAAGGACTTTATCGATGTCTATACATATAACATTGCCCAACACAAGAACTACCAGCGGGAGCTGGATGGGCTGGCTTCAATGGTGGCCTTTTAAGGGTTTGGAGCTTGATGGTCTGGATCGGACCGCTAATACCCGACGACATGGTGGGATGGTAAATTGAATGAGGCGTTTGGTTTGAAATGACACGTTTGTGGTTTGATAGGTTTACCATTTAGCCGTTCATATTTTAATCTCGAATTCATTCTCCTTTATGATTTTCCAGTAACAGATTTCATTTGTACCATTTGTCAATGTAGTCGGGGCTTCCCGATACCATCAGGTGAAGTAAACGTGGCATATCTTATGTCTGTAACTTGTTGATTACGCTTCTGTTCCAGGGATACCTTTGCATCATGCAAGCAAGGACGCTAACAAGTAAGATTCCTCGACCTCCTCTTTCGCAGGCTGCCTCAAGGTAAAGCCAAAGTATCTGCAAGGGATCTAATCGGCCTTAGAGGGGGCATAATGTACCTGATATTATGACAATTGAGACTTATAAGTACAGAGGTAGGCTGGGCGGAACAGGGGGCAGGGATTTGGCGTTTGGCGTTTCATCTTCAAGAGACTGTACTGAGTATGATTCCGACTGCTTGGCACCCGGGGCACGGATGGAAGCCCCTTCACTCTGCAATCTTCGTATCATTACAAGAAAGTATATAATAGAACTAGGTACCTATATACAGTGAAATATTTCGTAGGCCCAGATGATTAAAAAAATGATTTGGGTTTTATGTTATACTCGGATGAAGCCTATGGTTGGAATCAACTAAGCAGGAAAGACAGAAAACGAAGCCTACTGTTGGAATCAACTAAGTACTCGATAGTGAAGACAAAAAGTGACCTTGGAGGGTCAAGTCAAGTTAGTTTCAAATTGGGCCTCCTATTCGGGTGTAGCGTTACTTTGGTGTCGCGGGAGAGCGGGCGAGAGAGATGGGATGAAATGCTACCAAGGTACCCAAGAGAATTTGACTTTTGAGGGGCGAGGGCGAGGGGGAGAGTGATTAGCTCCTTGCTACAACTTTGCTTTGCAGTCTATTGTGATTTTCTTAGGTTAAGCTATATAGTCTTGAGAGTAATGGATATTCTCTTAACTGTTGCTTGGTTAAATACATAGTATATATAGCTTATAGTTTAAGTAAGAATACCTTTTTTTATTTTTATAAACTTCTTCATTGAAACTCTTTTCAATCTTTAAATGAATTACACAATTCCTCTGAGGAATCTTCCATGAATGCATTACATTGAATGATAATGGTAAACATGCAGCCATCCTGCACAGTGCACTGCCCTTGATATACCCCAGGAACCCCCCCCTCCCTCCCCCAACCGTAACCCCCTGGGGACTGGCCATGTAGCCCCCGACCCTCCGACCTGTTAAACCCATGCCAAACCTTTTGTCACACGCGCCCCTGTATGGTAGATCACTAGAACAACTAACTACCTAGGTCGCCCATATCGCCTGGCCCTTTTGCCGCTGCTCACTCTTGGGCTTTTCTTTTCTTGCCGCTCTCTTTTCAATCGCAGTAATATTGCGAATTCAGAGCGTACGTCTGCCTGCCAGCCAGCCAGCCAGCCATGCTCGCCTTCAAATCGCCGTCACACTTTGGCCGACGTGATCAGAGACTGCGATGCCTGATCCCCATAGCCTGCGTGATCCTGTTTCTGTTTATCTACGTTGGACCTGGCATCGACCCTGTCAAGCCGACTTTGGTGCGACTCGAATCATGGCATTCAAACGTGACGAGAACGCCGCAAGACTTTTGGGACGAGTTTGTCGTGATACTCGCGGCGGCAAGGCCGCAGGTGCATGGCCCTCGAGGAGTGGACCCGTGGGTGCCAGCGAGAGCGGATCGATTCAACTGGGACCAGGCCGATGAGGTGACGCAGCAAGATCAAATGTCGTTGGGTGACGACGAGCTTGAGAGCTTGCGCATGGGACACTCGTGGCTTGTGGAGAAGATTCAACAAGGAAAAGTCCAGCTGCCCTATGTCAAGGGCTCGCGCGGGATTGTCTACTCTGCGGGTGGTCACTATCTGGCCATAATGATGGTCTCGCTGATGATGCTACGGGACACGGGTTCAGAGCTGCCGGTGGAAGTCTTTTTGAATTCCGATTCCGAATACGATCCGATCATTTGCGACCAAGTGCTGCCGACGTTCAACGCCAAGTGCATTCTGCTCAGCGACATTCTCGAGTCGTCGAAGCTGCGGCTGACGTTTTCACACTATCAACTCAAGATCTTTGCCGTCTTGTTCTCCTCCTTTGAAGAGATGCTCTTCCTCGACGCGGATAATTTCCCGGTGCGTCTTCCCGACGATTTGTTCGAATCCCCCGAATTCAAGCAGGACGGCTTGATCCTCTGGCCGGACTACTGGATCTGCACCACCTCGTCGCACTTCTACACCATTGCGGGTCTCCCGCCGAGCGCATCGCGGCGGTATCCCACCACCGAAGCGGGTCAAATGGTCATTTCCAAGTCCCGCCATGCCGACACGTTGCTTCTGTCGGGCTTCTACAATGCCTACGGCGACGACTACTACTACCCGCTCCTATCGCAAGGCGGACCGGGCCAAGGAGACAAGGAGACATTCCCCGCCGCCGCGCGCGCCCTCAACCACTCGTATTATGCCGTGCACACGCTCCCTCAGCCTCTGGGAAGAGCGTCGGGAGATTTCCAAGGGTGGGCGGTGCTGCAGTATAATCCGTCCGACGACTGTCTGGACAACAATGCCCACTGCAACCCGCCGCGGCCGTTTTTCGTCCATGTCGGATGGGGCAACAAGCTGAACCCGTTCCGCCAAGACGAACGCGATTACCGCATCTTTGGCAGTGAGGAATTCTTGCGGCACCTCTTTGGCAAAGACCTCGAGAAGCTGGCCTATCAGAAGATGATCCACGTGGCTTGCGAGAAACGCTTCTTCTTCCACAATGTGGAGAATCCAGGCGACGCCTGTCAACGGTTGAAACGCATCTACGAAGCCGTCTTCAAATCCACATACGAACCTAACACTATCGCCGCTGCTCCTCAAAAGAGTTCATAGTGGACCTCATAGTCGAGAGACCTCTTTTACGTTTCTATTCATGTCACCGCCTAATCCAGCAGCTGAGCGGCACGAAGCTAGCGGTGGTAATTCTGGGAGTGCACCTCATACCAACGCTCAAGCGTCATCCAAGGATGCTCCTCGCGCCGTCGCCGCCAGCATGTTCTGCATGATTCTCTTACGCCTTTTCATGATCAACTTTTCATGATCCCCAGACTGCTTTTTCCCACGTTACGATCTTTTTAGAGGTCCCATGGTTTTGAGCCCATTAGCATGCTTGTCTTTGTCCGCTTTTCTCACGACCCTCTTGCATATATGCATGTGTCTCATTCGGATATCATTTACGTTTCATTATCATTTCTGTTCTACATTTTCGTTCTCGTTTTACATTATCATTTATCCTTACATTACCATATCTGTTTTACATTTTCATTTACGTTTCATTATCATTTCTGTTTTACATTATCATTCTCGTTTCACATTTTTCATCAAAGAACTGGGCGTCATCTGGCGTTGCGTTGCGTTGCGTATTATCACTTGCCGTTTAGCCTTGTTATTTGATCCGTCCTTGTTCGCGGCCGTTGTGTTTTTTTCTCTCCCTCAGTATCTCTCTCCCGTCATGTTTCTTTGCGAAATATCTCTCTCTTAGGTTGTCTACTCGGTACATCCCTGGTTGTACTCGGTATGTTTGGAAATCATTAGATTTGATTGACCTCCTCCTCGTCTTTTATTTCCTCGTCTGTCTCGTATCGTTGTCATACAGTCTACAGTCTACAGTCTACAGTCTACAGTCATGCTGTGCATCTCCTCATTATCACTATTATCATTATTACTCGTCGTTATCACGTTATCATTAGATTTCTTATCATATCTCCTTTGTCTTCATATCTGACGTCCCCTGGCTGTTTATCATGTCTCCCTTGGGTTCCATCTGACGTCCCTTGGCTGCTTATTACCGTCTCCCTTGGGATCTATCTATATCCCTTGGCTTCCATGTTACGTCTCCCTGTGGGTGCGTCAACTGGGTGTGTCAAACTGGGCTCACCACCTAACACATGTCACCTGTCACCTCGTTACAAATTGACACATGTCACTTTTTAGTCGAATACTACAGCCAGTCACCCAGTAATATCATCTATCCTCTATCTTCTATCTTTTTATCATCATCAAGTAAAACTGTACGAAGGTTCTATAATTGAAGTGAAATGAAATCAATATGTCAGTGTCTTTTTTTTTTTTTTTTTTTTTTTCAACTCGCTGTTTCGTGTAAGGTAATGTACATTGTACATTGTATATCGTATTCTGTAGGATTGTAGGATTGTATACAGTAGACAGTAGACCGTAGACTGTTGACTTTTGACTGTTGACTGTAGATGTAGACAGAGAGTAGACAGTAGACAGACAGCGGACAGTGTAATTAGACCGTAGACTGTATACCCTCAGGACGAATGGCCATAGACAGTATACGTTGACCGTGGATGGTGTACCATAGACCGTAGACAGTATACCGTATACCGTACACCGTATACCTCTATGACTAGATGGTCGTAGACTGACTGTTTGACTATAGATTGTAGATTGTAGAATTTAGAATGTAGACCTTTATGACTGTAGACCATAGACTATAAGACTGTATACCGTACACTGTCGACGTAGACAGTAGACCATAGACAGTAGACTGTAGACGTAGACTTAACACATAGACAGACTGTAGACTGTAACCTGTAACCTGTAACCTGTAAGTCTAAACTGTAAACTGTCAATTGTAACCTGTAACCTGTAAGTCTAAACTGTAAACTGTCAACTGTAACCTGTAACCTGTAA